TCGTACAGTTTTTATTACCTTTTGTAACCAATTAAGCAGCTTTGAGCTAATCCTGTGTCAGGCGACCGTTCATAGTCGTGCATTTTTTCCTGTTTTATGATATTTTATTTAGAAAGGAGTGTTTTTTATCATTGCCACAGCAAAATAGTTGCCCTGTTTGTACAATAGGCTGCTCGCGTACATATTTGCACTTATTAATTACATAACATTTAAAATTTTGAATGTCATGGGGTCTGGGTTTAGTTCGCACGATTTCTACTAAGTAGTTGGGAATCAAATTAGAACTTGTTTTGAGCCCTCTCTATTTCAAAACACCAGCCGCGAGTAAGGAGTAAAAATGTAACTAACCAATAGCATCATACATTTAAAAAATATAAAAATTGTAATATACCCATAGACAACGTTCGCATTCCTTTCTTCTCGCACCTGGCTTCTGTTACTTTTTTATTCGATGCACGCGTCATCACCTAAACAACTACTATAGTTAAACCGCCGTAAGCTTGGCCCTCCTGATGGTTTGCGGGACGCGGGGCGGGTGATGCGCTCGGCTATACATGACACGATATACTAACTCGATATCTTCAGATTTATTTGTTTGAGATTTAATCTACACACGATGTAATAAAAATCTAATTTATTTCCATATATTATAATGTCAGTGTATTGTAAGTTTTTATGATTAATTGTAAAATTTAATACTGTAAAATAATTTTAATAAAATCACCTTATCTTCATCATGTAAATTATATTCAGATACAATTTTAAAATTAAGTAAAATAATAAATATTCTTTATTAGAACTTTAACAGTAGAACCTCTGTAAGCCGAACTTCAAGTTTTTAAATCTTTTTGTGACGCAGAGTCGGCAGATTATCCATGTTGCAAAATAATACCGTGTGCAGCAGTCTTAAGAAAAATAACACGTACAGCCATGCTTTCACGTCAGTCACTGCTGGCGGTGGCTGGCGGACAGCGACGCACTAGCTAATTGGTTGAATGCATCCCCGCCCCGCGTCCCCCAAACCATCAGGAGGGCCAAGCTTACGGCGGTTTAACTATAACTACTACACGTACAACCGTCTTACAACTATCGAATCGCGAAACCAAATGAAAGCATTTATAACATTCCACAATCTAATCACAGGACTTATTGTTACAAATTGCCTAAGAACCCGCTAATAAGGGATAAAGTAGTGCTAAGAGTAAGGAAGTAAATTCCTTTTTTGGCCTTCACTTCGAGTCACCCACGCAGAGGCAGACAAATAATCTGAAATCCACATACACTATCTTAACGAAGAGAGCTTAACTCTGAACTTAAATAGTTGTTAATAAAATTAGTGGTCAGTATATCCCATATTCCTATCACGTACCTACTCTCGATTTGCAACACTACAAAGGTCATCGCCAAAAACTGTACGAACTGCCAAACTGTAATGCAAGTCGAACTTTCTGGAAATAAGGGATAAATATTTCGACCTTCAATGGTAAAATTTGAATTCTTTCGTTACCAGTAAGTTACATTTCGAAACATTTATTTCGTCTTTGCACGTGGCAGGAATGATTCCTCAGCAATAAAAAAATAATATTACGTTATAATTTTTTTAACAATTTCCCAAGTTCTTCTATTAGAGTAATATAAGTAAGTTGTGAAGTAAGTTTTGAAGGTTGTCCGTCCCAACAAACTTGGCACTCGTTTAAGTTTTGTTTTGTTTCTAATATAGGTACGCTGATTTTCAATATTAATAACTAAAGTGGAAGTTTGAAGGTGAAACTAACAACTTATTTAGCAATACAATTTTACGATGGAAAAAATAATCTTGGATTATATCAAGCCTCGTGACAACTTGAAGTATTGAAAAGTAGGTATATGACAATTATAGTGTTTGAAGTAGTAATCCCATCTCAAACTTCGCCGTTTTTTGAGATAGGATTATAACACAACACAACACTTACAAGATTTATAACGATATATTTCAAAATCTTTATTATTATTTCTCTATACATGTTCTGTACTACATATATATAATATAATGTACTAGCTGTACCCTGCTCGCTGTGTCGTATTGTGGTTGTATGGATGAGTAACAAAACTGACACGAAAAATAGATAAAAACCATCTTTGTAGCCGGTTGTATATCGTGTCAAAATTTGATCTCAATCATTAAGGAACTTTTTGAGTTTTTGAAGCGTACATAAACCAACTTAACATTTTTAAAATATAGATTGAGCAAACTCATTAAAAAAGATGTCTTACACTTACTTTATTTCTTAATTTTGTTTTACTATTATGAAGCCTGTGGTAACATTCACTTCATGAAAATTTAAAGTATGTGCGTATTTTGTTACAAAAGATACAGCCATTCTTAAGAAGAATTCTTAATTCTCAAAATTAAAGGTTTATTGCATAGGAACTTTATTTAACTTGCATTAATTCCTGTTATTGTAGCTTGTCTGGCAAAAAATTTAAAAATGAAATTTTCTGCCTTTGAAATTTTTACAGTGAGTGGTTATTATTATACTTGCCGCTGAATCTTCAGAGATTCTCAGATTCTTAGTTATGTTGGCGTTTGGGTCGTATGCAAGTTTCGAAGTTAGTTGAATGTCATACTTATGTAAGGGCCTGCTTTGGTTATCCTTGTTAAGGGTTCAAGCGATTTAGACACAGAAGATTGGGGCTCTGGTAACCTCACGTATTCGGTGAAAAGCAACGGTGAAAAAAGAAAGAGTTGCCTAACACCAGATTTTTGTGATGTTGCGGTATCACTCCGGTTTAGCTGTCAAATCTGCCGACGCGTGGCTCCCCAATAACATTTGTTGTAACTCTGCTTAACGAGTACCTCTCGAGTAATAAATCCTAATTATATATAAAAACAGTTTGTAATTTCTTTCAAAACATTTCTGTAAATATTAAATTCAAAACATAACTTATATCTTTGAACAACTAAACTTAATTAAAATTCTTGTAATGAATAGGCTCTTTTTAGTAAGCGCACAAACTTCCAACTCTCAGTCCAAAATTTCTTAGTACGGTGTTCTAAAACTTTTGCAATAATATTGTTACGTGTTAAGTTTCGTTGATTTGGAATGAAATGCCTTCTGATGACTTATGGGATTTTATTTCTAATGCACTTAAATAAATTTAATCGTTACTTGATAACAATCCAAAACGATCGCCGAGGTCGCTGGGTTACTCTTCTGTTCTCTTAGATCACTTCGATGTTTATCGCACTGTAGCTCAAACTTAATGCAGACATACACAGGCAAATACGACTTCGCCGGTAGGATAGTTTTATCCTACCCGCGAAGTCGTATTTGCCTGTGTATGTCTGCATTTATATTACTATATCTATAAATTAATTTTTCATAAGGTGTTCTGTTCCTAAAAAATGAGACTACGTTTTAAATGTAACCAAGATCGTTTGATTTCCGATCTTACGCATAAATAGTGATAAAGCTCACTGTCCCGTGCCGTCTTGTCTTATTTTTATAAATTACAAGTTCTCTCGAAAGTTCGTGATGTATTTGGCGATATGAATTATGTTTTGCGATGTTTGGATTGTTCGTAACTTATTCAGCATACTTACTTAGGTACTTATTGAATTTATTATTTATATAATCTATGTAGGTGTCTTTTGTTTAAGTAAGTACCTACTTACTCATTTATTAATATAAAAGCTTTATGAAATTAAGCTGATTATTTGTGACGCCTATTTATTTTATAATTTTAGGCTTTAAAATAATGAGTTTTAGATAGTGATCATAATTATATATACTATTTTATAATAAAAATATTAGCTAGTTACGTCTAATGTTTATGTAGTTATTAAATAGTACATTTCTATTTCAAATTGGTTGTCTGCGTCTATGTCCGTAATAAAGACCCTTACTAACACAGGGAGAACCAGTCCTCTATGAAATCTTTAATTTTAGGGTATATAGCCACTAGGGTTGGCAACTCTTTCGAAAAAAATGTGTATTATTTTCTTTGAATAAGAAAAAATAAGTATTTTGAAAAATAATCTGTTAGTTAAGTACCTGTTAGCACGTAATAATAATATTTCGGACATCTAACACACAAAGCCATCTAGTTTGAAACTAAGCAGAGTACTGTACTACGAAAGTTAGAGTGACTGATAGAATACTTATATACTTTTTTTTATATTTATTATTCATAGAAAGCACCCAAACGCCGAAACAAATATTTGCAAATCATAGAACAATTTGGTCCGACCCGGGAATCAATCAAACTAGTCGAGCACATATTTTGAAATATTTGGAAGATCAAATGAGAACTCAGTCTCCTAGTTCTTCGTCTAGTTTTGATTCAAAATTGTCCATAACAGTCTATTACTCATTTCTTGCCACTCCAGATGAATTAAAGAAAAAGTTTTACAATGAAATCTGAGAAGGCGAGATAACGGAGTTAATTCTTACGTATGTAAAGTTAGTGTGTTTGTGTATTTATTTATTCTTGACAAGGTAAGTAGTACTTACTTTCATTAAAATTTGCAAATTGTTTATCGAAAGTAAAGTAAGATACCTTTTTGGAAAGTACCGTTGTAACTCTACTAGCAACATTGGCAATACACTGGAAAATTGAAAATAAGCATTTTTAAAACAAAACAAAAAAAAGCTTTTAACGAGTGGTTTCTTTAATAAGTCAGTAGTCTTTGAACTTTTGTAATAATTAAAGTTTACAATGCATCGAAAAGGAAGGAAAACCTGAGGAATGCAGTAGTTAGCAAATATTTTTGCCCGGATTGTATTTAAGTCTTAATCATCAACAGACTTTAATAGTCCACTACTGGACATAGGTCTCTCCTAAGAAAGGACGTTTTCGCCTACTATACCACGCTGGCCAGACGGGTTGGTGTGTTTCAAGTTTTCCATCTCTTTGCAGTGCCGTTGTCCTGCGTAGTTTCCTCCTTTAGACAATGGTATGAATAGGCGTGTCGGGTTCTGTATTATTAAACCGTCACCACACGGAGATTTTAGGCTTACCTCATCATAATCAGGAGTACGTACAACATTAGGGGGCGCCTTGGTGACGACTCTGCCGTAGGCCTCGCGAGACATCGATGGGTACTGGTATCTAAACCTGCAACAAATCATACCATTTCTGTATAACTTATTGAACCATAAGAATATGCTTTTATGCGGGTAAAAATTATGTAAATGTTTCTTTAGAGATGACAGACACAATATCCTGTCACTTCCTTGCATACCTCACCTTCTATTGTAGAGTAAAATAGAAGAATAAAAGTGTGGAATAGAGAACGATATTAATCGTAAACCTCAAACTATACTTTGTTATATTCAGTTTCTGTATAATATAATGAAAGCAACTGAACCAAGAATAACTATCCAATTTCATCGCATCAATATACGAACTCAATAGGAAATTTATTACCTTAATGATTTCATCAATGGAATGAATGGATTTAACAGCGCTGAATATTACTAACTCTTGAGATTGCTTGACCATTCATTATCAATGAAAATTCGCTATTAATATATAATATAAATATTGTATAATATATTATAATATATAATAGAATATAATATAATAGAAATAAATATTAATATAATAGCAAACGTATATTTGATATTATATTTCAACTTGTTACAAAAAAAATATATGAAAAAGTGTGATTTTTAAACGACTTTAAAAACATAAAAGAGGAGGTTATCAATTCGTCTGTTCTTTTTTGGTGTATATTTGTTACGCGATTTCTCCGTCAATTGTGGACCAATTTTTTTTTGTAATTAACGGGTATGCTACGGGTATGCTACGGGATTTGGTGGTAATGGAACCACATCTGATGGGATCCTAGAGAAATGGAGGGAAACCCTCAACTTTTACAGCCCCTACAACGAGTTTTATCTTATTACTCCAGCTTTAAAGGTATTTGCGTTTAGTAGTCGTTATGTCATGTTACTGAGCTGATGATGGAAGGATCCTTGACCTTTTAGGACTTAGAAAATAACTATTACAAAAATCTAATAATGTATTGACATTGTTTTATTCTTTCAAGTTAGGTGTTTGTGTGGGGTTACAGAGACATGTGCACAAGAGAGTAATAAATGAGATTACAAAACATTTAGACGAAAAAAGATTGTTACGCAATTTATTTTCAAGTTTGTTACCTCAAAACTCTTTCATTTGTAAATCGATTTGAAAATTCTTGTTTATTTTAAAATTATTTTTATAATAGAAAGGGTATCTACTCCCGAGGGTAACGTCTAATAATACAATCATTTATGGATAATTTTCATTTAACGAGTTTTCATCATTAGCCTTATGTCCGATCAGACCTTTAACTATTTAAGGACAAGGTATACCATCTCAATTTTAACTTTAACTTTTCTTAGCGAGTCACAACACGTAATATAATGTTAAACTTACACTGAAAAATAAAATAAGGACAGTGCACAAAGTCTCAAGCGGTTGCAAAGAGATAAGTATAATGAAGAAATAATATAATTATATAAAACTTTTCCACATTTATGTATGTGTTACGCAACTCAGAAATAGAACTACGCAATCCGTCTAACTAAAAGGGTGTCCAATTTGCTAGCTAAAGTACTCTTTATTATCACATTTCTATACATATTATTCAATTCTGTGACCCTGTTTTCAAGTCAAATAACGTTTCTAGTTCCTTCAAGATTTATGTAGATTAATATTATTTCAAAGGTTACGTAAGATTTGAGACTTTTGTGAGTGAATTCCACTAACTATGTTAATGCGTTCCACATTGAAACTGTACACTTGTGGAATGCGTTATTTGTAACTATGGGCAAGTGAGATTTAAGATTTATTTATTGTAATATTTTAGTTTGTGTTATATCTTTCCTTAAAAGGGAAAGTAGGCACCCTGAAATGATCACTTTGTTGTCCCTCTGTTTTGTCTATCAGGAGCCGTTTACAAAAATCGTTATTAAAATTACTCTATTGATTATTTGCTACTGGCCTGAAATATTTAAATTTAGTCAGAAGTAAGAACCAATGCGAATGAATGATTCGACCGAGTTCGGCAATGGCGACTGCTTCGACTCCTAGTCGGCGTTGAACAGCAAGCAGTTAGATGCGCAGGATTTTTAAGGTGGACTAGAAGAGAGGTCAAATGATGTATCTGCTGTGTGCTAATGGTAACTGTACATCATAGCTCAAACGGGAAAAATCCAAAAACTTTAATTTGCTAAATGTCATAAAAATATGTTATTATGTGCGGCATAACTCGAAAAAAACGGGCAAAAATCTGGACTGGACTGGGGTGGACTGGCTAACTATACATACATACATATACAAGTTTGTACAGGAACCTCGGCTTTAGTGAGAATCTATCGAGGTTTTTTTATGTTGTAGTTGAGACCATCTTTCAAAACAATATGGCCGCTAAGGAACATAATCTCAGCTTCACATACAAATAAAGTGTTCTAAATATATTTGAATTTAATTATCCGAAGTAAGTTTGGTTTTCTAAGGTACATCTAAATCAGTAATTAATATACGGTGGGCTCACCTTGGCGCAGCTCTCGGTATAGCGGTGTAGACCGGCCACTCGTTGTACATAAGCGGGTCGCGGTATGAGCTCACCTCGTTCATTATTTCCGGCGCACGCGCCTGTCGCTTCGAGAATCTGAAACAACGCAACATCATTAGGACTACAAGAACAGTGACATTTACCTGCATAATGTAATTTGAGTTTTTCTTACATATTGTAAGAGCTTCATGGAATTTGTCACTGAAAAAACTTCTAGAAACTATTTATTTTTTATGTTGCGAAATAAACGAGCAAACGGATGAACTGACGGTAAGTGACTCCCGTCGCACATGGACACATGCAACTTGAAAGATAACCCCACCCTACTCCTAATACTCACGGGAGGAGGCTTTGTTCTCCAGTAAATTCACTCGGTGAAAATCAACAAATCAAGAAAGGTTTATGTGTATATTATTATAATAGACGTATTTCTTAGCGTTCCATGGATTCACCGTGCGGGTGCCAAATCCATCGCGTGATTAATTGAGGGCATGACATGTTCAAGTATTGGTTCAAGAAATGAGTTTACTGAAGCTAATGGCAATCCAAGGCCTTTAAGCAGGTTATGGATAGAGACGATCAAATTAAGTTTTTAAAGTGATAAATAAATATCTATATTTTGCAACTAAGTTGTCGCTAAGTAAACGGGCATTGTTTATATAGGCTAAACCTGATACTTGAAAATGATGTATCACTTGAAAATGAGTGAGGTTTCGCAGACCAAAATTCCTTTTTCTCTGATTCAAAGGGAGAGAGGGAGATAACGGACGGTCACGCACTTGTGACTCTTGAATTGCTTGCATACCATCGGGTGACACATCTGCTCGTTCATCAACAGCCTTTAATAGTCTACTGCTGGACATAGGCCTCTCCTTAGAAAGGAGGTTTATGACCCACTATACCATGCTGACCAGACGTTTCTATAGGGTTTGTGTCAAGTTTTCCTTCTCTTTGCAGTGCTGTTGTCCTGCGTAGTTTACTCTCTTAGTCGGCATTTATCCCTTAAAAAAACCTAACATACTACCACGCGTACGAAACCGCGGCGGCTCGCTGGTAATTTAAATACAAAAAGTTATCGAAGTCAATTTATATATTGATATATCTAAAACTTGTCAGTATTTACCAAACAAACAAAAAAATCTTTTGATACAGGAATAAATGGTTCTTAATTGTAACGATTCACGTATTTATATGACTTCATCTCATTTGGAGTAAGTAATGTTATTTATTTATGAATATTAAAAGTAGACGAAATATGAAAGTTTTTTTTATAATTTTCACCATAAAGGTTTGAAATATCTCAAGTTGTTTAATATAAAATATTGACACTTGAAATGAATTGAATGGCAACATTGGTTAGTAATACCAGACGGACGACGCGTAGGTGTAACAAAAGTAAAGCGGCATTTTGTTTTATTTATAGCCTTCAAAGAGAGTTAATTGTATTATTTGAGAGCAGAGTGTCGGAGATATTTAATAAACAATAATTTTTCAGGGTTCGTTAGACAAGAATTAGTCAAGTCACTTAGCCCAGCCACCAACTTAATGAACTCAAAATAATTTATTTATCGGCTTAAGGAGTTTATTCGTCAGTGTCTGAAATGTCTAGTCTTTGAACAAGAATTAAATAAGACAAGTAATCTTTAATTGGCATCGCAATGTGTTATGTGTTGCAAAATAATGTAAGGTGTAAGGCTGTGCAACTATTTTATGATATTTTTAGGGTTTTCTACCTCGAAAGGAGAAAACGGAACCCTTTTAGAATCATTTTGGTGTCTGTCTATCTGTCAAGACTCTCAATCTCGGAAACGCGTGGAGGTACACAGATGGCCTCACCTGTCACCCCCCAGGCCTGCGCTTATGGAGGACGGAGGTCGTTCTGCGACCTCCGTCCTCCATAGCCCGCCAGGCCCGTTCCCGGGCCTGGCGGGCCGGGAGAGTTCTAAACCTCTCCCGGTCCCGCTCCGCCGTCTCCTTCGCGAGCATAACTTGCTCGCAGAAGGAGACGGCAGAGTTCCACGCACTCTCGCTCCGCACGATAGCCGCAATCAGGCTATCGAGCGATATGATTATATCTACCTGGATTTTCAAACCGGTCATAACTTTTAAAGGGCTATTTTTTGTTCTTTAAACACATGTTTTTTTTAGTACATGCATGATGCCTAGAGTTATGTCTTTGCAACGATTTTTATAAGTGTTCTGTATGTCTAACTAGTTAACTCTCTCTGCAGTGACACTTGATGCCATTGCGGCAGGATCTAATTTCTTGAACGTGACTGTAGTTTGATCCGAAACTATAGTCAAACATCATCAAATAACATAAGAGAATAAAACTTTTACAATAAGATAGGCGAATAAAGCTTTTATTAATTTAAATATAAATACAGCATTTATTTACAAAGCTCCTATAGGCTGAAGCAAGAAGATACGAACGACTTAATCAAACCGGCTAAAAGTATCGAAGCTAGAGAAAGTAAATAATCCCGGAGGATTTGACAAAAGGTGCAACAGGAATTCCGCTCTAATCAGACTACCGTTAGACTGAAAAAGGATTCAATGTTGAAGTAAATAAACCAGGATTGCTTATATCAAATTGTAAGTTATTTAAGATGGTATTTGAAGACTGTTTTGCGATAACTGACTGTAATTTAAATTGGTTGTTGTTGCGTTTAAAACGATTAAGTGTTAAATGAATATTCAATTAATTTGTAACCATATTTTTCTTTTGTGGTTGACAGTCTATACTAATATTATAAAGAGATTAAGTTTGTGAGTTTGTATGTTTGGGATAATCTCAGGAGCCATTGGTTCGAATTGAAAAAACATTTTAGTGTTGGGTAGCCCTTTTATCGAGAAGGATATACACCATGCAATGACCATGCAGTTACAGTGTATTGGATTGAGACGGCAGAACTGCTGGACATAGGCCTCTCAATAGAAAGGAGGTTTTTGCCTACTATACCACGCTGGCCAGACCGGTTGGTGTAGGGTTTGTTTCAAGTTTCCTTCTCTCTGCAGTGCTGTTATCCTACGTAGTTAGCTCCCTTAGTCGGCTCTTACGACACCCACGGAATGTAATAGTAAAATGTGGCAATTCACACGCAGCCGTCTGATCTCCCATTAGGCAGAGCCAATACTATGGTTATAAAACTGCCAATTATTATATATTTCTGATACTTATATATCCAGACACAAAACGGTGAGAGTTCGAATCACGAATTGCTGATTGCTAAACAGTGCCCCGAGCACGAACAACTTGCGAAAAAGTATTCGTATCGTCTTCGACAAAATTTGTATGACATTTGTGCAGCGCCCCTATCGTGCGTAAAAGTAACTAATTTTGGCAGCACGAACGTTTCGAATTTACTTTCGTATCGTCAACGTATCGTCAAGCATTCGATACGTTACACTTTATAAAGAAAATTGGCAGCACGAATGAAATTTTGACGTACCTACGTTCGAAGGCTGGCTATCGAGCACCTGTCAAACTTAGTCAAATGTTTATTCACCTAAGATTTAGCCGTGAGAAAAGTTTCGAAACAATCAATTTCTTTTAAAACTATTATTTTCAAGTATAAACGGTTATTTTTTGTAGAGATAAAATGCAAAGACCGCCGCTTTTGTCCTATGTATGTTCTTGTCGCAAGTTTAATTGAAAATAAAGGTATTCAACAACTAGATTCGAGGTGAGCAAATCTTGTTTTATCCATAAAGTGTAAACTAAATATTTGTCAGAAACATTTGAAGAAACTTCTACTATATTAATAAAATGTAGTATACTTAGTATGTACCTATATATCTATTAATCTAATTAATTATTTTTAGTGAAATAAGGCGAAGAGAAAAACAAAGAAAGATAAAAGTGAAGAAAAATCTGTCTGTTTGTAATATAAAATAATAGGTTTCTTTCATGCTCACACGGTTTTTTGCAAGATACCTATGCCTAAAAACCAGTCTAAATATTTTTTGGGTTCGGGTAATCTTCAAAACGGCTGGACCGATTTTTAAAATATTTTACTACCAGATAGCTGTCTACATAACGAGTAATTTAGGCTAAAAAAAATTGCCCGGTCCGGGAATCGAACCCACTAAGGCAGCGCTTTTCAAATTCTACGCAAACGATGTTTCGGGACTTCGGGACAAACGCAAACGTATCGAGGACTCGATACGTTTACGATACGCATTCGAAAATTTTTCGTGCTCGAGGCACAGGGGTGGTGACACTCCGTATTCTTAATCCGTCACCACCGTGCATTTACATAATTTTGCTATACCCTAGTTCATTTTTGTGTGTTTACAAAGACTTACCAACTTCACTTTGTCACGAGTGACTTCGTTTTTTAGGCAGCCTTTTATAGATGTATTAACTCGCTTTTTATCAATGACCATTTATCAATAGACCTTGCAGGCAGTGGATAAATTGCTAAACCAGGCTGATAATTACTGTACGGTACCGTTGTTACATCATAAGCCTCTCTAAATATAGCATGTATGTGTAACCTACACAGATAAGCTTGTGTTTGCCTAAAATGTTGCTATAAGCCAACAGCTTTACACTTTGTCAGATATTCTCAGTTCAGCGGTGTTCCTCGCTTTAATGGAGCTGAAAATCCCATTATGTACGACTATTTGGACATTCTTTTCGAGTATTACTCAATTAGATAACGTATTTGTGTTGTTAATTAATAAATGCGTCTCAATTTTTCGACGCTTTCACAGATTTGGCAGTCTATCTAGACATATCTATTAATAATCTCAGATCTATTTGGGCCGCGGCCCGCCAGGCATGATCACCTCGCCTGGTCGGAGGATCCTCCCTTTCTGTTGGAGGGACATGACACCCGTTCCTCCACACTATGTATAATATGTATGTATTTACAAAAAAAAAACATATATGTATTTATATCAAGCTACAAGCTCTGCTTAGTTTGGGACTAGATGGCGTTGTGTGAATGTAGTAAAATAGAATGTAGTAAAATCTATGTAACTGTAAATAAAAACTGCTTACGCTTTAGTTTGATCTAAAAATCATTCTACCTTTGTATAGATAGAAAATCTACAGAATCTTACCACGTCATTTAGTGATCCTAGCCTAAATACATGCATATTACAGATAATAACTAACTACATATGTGGAGGCTTGTTATAAGCAACCTTTTTATTGATATGTTTACTTAAGCAAAGTTTGTAATTAGTCTGTAAGCCTACTTAAAATAAAATAAATAAATAAATTTGAAAGATAACAGGGAAACACTAGGCTAACGTGCCTGTCAAAAAAGTAAAATAAAATAATAAACAAAAAATTATAAAAAAAATCAACATTCCAAAATTTCAATAATAACTTTGAAAATAGGGATATAATTAATTTCAAGTATCAAATCTAGTTGGTCGGACTTCGGGAGATTCGTGTCACAATTCTCGATAACGGTCATTGGAATTCCGGCAACGGGGAGTCCCGGCAATTATTGCACGTAAATGATATTTTATCAGTCTACCCTCCTATTGTTGAAAGTTTCACCTAGAGAATTTCGTTTGGAAATTAAATTAATTCTAAAATGTTTGCTCTTTGCGGTTTGCGGTGTGTAGTGGGAATGTTTTTAGCTTTCAATGTGTTTATGTACTTTGTTTGTGTAGCATAACAATAATTTCTATATTTGTAGTTTTCATTAACATACATTGCAAATGGTTCTTTGATAGCCATTGTAAGCGACTTATATGACCGGTGTGCTCGTTTACCCACTTTTTCTTCCGAGTACTTTTCCCTAATTATGTTGGGATCGGCTTTAAGTCTACTACGATACGGTTGAACTTCGATTTTATACGCGGAGCAACTGCCATCAGACCTTTACAACTCAAGTACATACTAGGCGAAATCAAAGTTCTGTAGAAAAACTGTTGTCGAACTTTTTTAAGGGCTCCAACAACCCGTAACAACAACACACATAACAAGACACACAACTGCAACTCAATAGACCTTTTTCTAAGAGGAAAAATAGCCTAAATTACTCTTTATATAGACAGCTACGTGGTAGTAAAATATTATCATTATTTTGACATTACAAACAGACACTTCAATTTTATTCATTTGTATAGATTTCAAGGCATACCGCAGTTAGGCATACCACAACTGAGAAAAAATAACTAAAGCATTATGACACTTGATACGAATAAAAATACATAAAATGTTGCTGTTTTTTGAGTGGCTACATTATGGAGATCTTCAAAAAGGAAAGCCTTTACAGGTTTTACCAAGGTTAATTTCAGGCAACGATTGTAGAAAGCTAAGGTCAACAGATATCAGATCAAATCATTAAGTAAGTGAACTTACAAATTGGTGACCACCGTTTGATGAAATTGGTTGTGCTATATATCGACTAAACGGATGGCGTAGTCGTTGAAGCGGTCGCGACACCGCTTCCTATCGCGCTGACTATTGTGGGTTCGATCCTCCCATGGGACACCACTTTGTGTGATCCATCCAAATTATTGTTCTGAGTCTGGGTGTTCGTTGTGTCCGTTTTATGAAGAAGTTTAAGAAATTAACAAATAAGAATGACTTCCCTATCCTGAATCAGTGATTGTGAGTTCAATTTTCACCCAGGACGAGCATGATGATTTGTTCTGTGTTTACGTGTAATTTCTCTGTAATATTTATGTGTACAAGTATATTTATCCCCAGTCTTGTTAACATTTCTTAAATTCCAGATTATCGTGTGTAAGGCATACTCAGCTAAGAGATGTACATAGATATATTATTAAAAAAAAAATACCTCCACATGGCCTTCAGTTGGTCGCATGTAGGTTCATCAGCTTTAGCTAGCTCCCGGTCCCTGACGCGTGACGTCCTTGGCGAGAGCATCGCCTCTTGGTCGAGGCGCTGCGCTAACACGGCGCACGCGCAACAACACACGCTCCATACGCTCCAAACGCGGAACAACGACCACATAGCTGTGAACAAAGAAATGAAAAAAGTTATTTTACTTCTTAACAAAAGCATTTCTGAACACTAACTTAATTCACTTTTTTGTTAATTAAGGGGATTTCTCTTGATATTTACTTAATTTAAAATGAAATATTTAATTTTATAAAACAATAAATGTTAGACTCTCGATCCATGGATTATAGAGAGTTTAAAAGTTTAAATTGAGTTATAAGTTTAACAGTATTCACTCTTTGCTATAAATTACAAAGTTCGCGACATCTTGTAAAACTAGAGGAAAAGTTAAAGTTCAAAGATTGGTGTCGAATAGATATTCTGTTACTCTTCATCCTAAAAGTTTTATAAAAGTACTTTTAGTATTAGAACTTACGACAAAAAGTATTCTCACTTAAATGTAAGATCTCTTTGGCTTTTAAGTTTTGCATCCTTTTTATAGATTTTATGAGCTCTAATATAGTTTTTACGTAAAAAATTTTTGAGAAAAAAACGAACAAAAGGCCTATTCTCGTAATAAAAGTTTGGTCTCAATTCAGTTCCTATCAACTGTCGATCTCACAACTGTCATAAAATATATTTTCGTAGTACAGTATTAAACATTCAACGTTGACTGTAAGATGATTATATCGCTTTGAAACCGAACATTGAATCGCTAATCTACTAATACTTTACTGTTTTAATACGAAAATACCGTTTATGGCAGTGGCGAGATCGAGATTGGTACCGAATTTTGACCGATTTTTTACTACGAGAATTAGCCTGCAGGTGTATTTTGTTTTCATTTCCGAGGTCTGGTCCCCAAGTTGGTTGGGGCAGCGCGTGCGTTGGCGCGGCTGCTGCCCAACATTAAGGGACCCGATGACTCCTGCAGGAGAGTCTACTCGGGGGTTGTGCGGTCCATGGCCCTTTACGGGTGCCCAGTATGGGCGGGGGCCCTGAAGGCCAGCAACGTCGCGATACTGCGACGACCGCAGCGAGTGCTGGCCATCAGGATCATAAGGGGGTACCGCACGATCTTCTTTGAGGCGGCGAGTCTCCTCGCCGGAACTCCACCGTGGGACCTGGAGGCGAGAGCCCTTGCGGCTCTGTATAAGTGGCGCAAGGAGGCGCGGGAGTTGGGTCGGTGTCCGGAGACTCGAGAAATCGACGACCGGAAATCCCAACTCCGCCAGGTCTACGACCTCCGTCCTCCATAAGCGCAGGCCTGGGGGTGACAGGTGAGGCCATCTGTCACCCTAGCAGAAGCAGGCCGGGGTGGCGGCGAGCGCGTTGCGAAGCGCGCTCGCCTCCAGGGAGCACAGGGAACATGGGGTTCCCACACGGGGGGGGTCGTCTACTTGTCTGTAGATGACCCGAGGTATGTCGGGGCACCAGGGACTTCCTTTCTAGGGTATACCTGGTTCCCCGGCTATTAGTACCCGAGACGGCGTGCGGTTTTAGTCGGTTCGAGTCCGACATGCCACCGACAGGTGGTATTCGAGGGGATGTCCGCACGGAAAAAAAAAAAACAAGGTGTAGTTTGTTTAAAATATCTTTTTATAACAAAATACCTTTGGCAGCTTCACGATTAAGACGTAGAAACCGACGTGAACTTATAAGGTAAAATTTCGTTTAAAAATATACACAATGCTATACTTTTTTTATTAAATAATGGATTTAGCTTGATAAATATCTACTAAAGTCTTTTCTTTGTAATTTTATTTTTTGTGAAAACAAATTTTCCCGTTTCAGGTGAACATTTCCTAACAATTTATAACATTTCATGTCAGATATGGCAAATATTTTCTGAAAAAAACCTGGAGCAATTTCTTGGTATATCCCTTAAGGTTTAAATAGCCTTCTTTCTTACGAGCTTTAATTATTACTTTTTAAGTTCATTTTGTCAGTGTCGAAATGAGATTTCTGATTTTTACCTTAAATTATACGTGGTTTATTTACGCTCTCTGCTAAAAATATAACTTAACTTTTTGTAACAGTCTGTATTTTCATTAAACAAGAAATTCGTATATTTAAGTTTAAAATAAGTACAGGAGTGGCAGTGCCTAGGCGTGGGCGAAGTGGGCCGCCGCCCACGGCCTCGCACTTAGGGAGGCCTCGCGAGGCTCCTTTAAATGCGATGCCCCTAGACTTTACCACAGATGACTAAATAATTTGATCATATTTAAGAAGATTATTGAAGTGTGTGTTTCGGGCCTCTCAAGATGGCCCTTGTTAAGTGCGACTACGAGGCTATTGTTACTGCTACTGCTATCTTTAAAGACCGTGACCGTTTAAGTGATAGAATACGAGACTTGTCAGGCGTTTAATTTTTATGGCCCTGGTAATACTACTAATTAGGGGCGTTTTTTGTTGACGGGGTGGAACATCACCTTGGATCTCCAGCGCCTTGGAGACGTAAGAGTTAGGAGTATATGGTGTTTCCTCTAAAAACCCGCCCGACGTCTGACCTCAGGCGCTTAACTCTGGAAGGACCCATACCATGTGACTTCAGGTACCAATCACTACCAATGTGTGTGTGTGTGTGCCCTGTAGTGTTTTGATACGATTGCTGGCAGGAACAAATGTCGTCCGGTTCGATCCACTAGGACAGTACCCACAGTGCGCTGGTGCACATTTTGCGTCTGGGTTTGGACGACACAAGCTAGCCCTAACTCGGGCGGGTTCTCCTTCGCGTAACAGACGATAGTCACTTTTAGGGGAACACTAGTTCTCGGGACTGCATTATACGTGAGGTTCCACAGATCAGGTCCTAGGACCGACGCCAAGGGAACCCTTCTTGTACCTTTCAACATTCTTCGCTGTCTCGATCCATTTGCGATAGGGACCTGTTGTGTAAATAAGGGTCGAAGATGTCCTGCAGGGAGGGGAGGAACTGGTTCAAAGGAGAGGGCAAATATTACTCTCGCCGACTCCGACAGACAACCTGTTCCTTTCTTCAATCGTAATACAAGACATTAAAACAAGATTTATTACATTATCTGAATATTACAACAATTTTGGATTCTTATACGACATAAATAATAAGGTAAAAATGATTAAAAACTACCTAAGAAACATTATCAAGCAGGTCCCACTGGCAGCTTTTGCCACTCTGAGGAGTGGTGCATTATTTTCTTAGTGTTGTCTGCTTCTAGATAATTCTTAGGAGTGCGAAGTCTTAGAACGCAGTTAAAAATTGGAAACTTTATGAGGGGAAACAATTTTAGTCTTCGAAAAATATGTATGTTATCTCTATATATACATACATGCTTCAAGAATATATAACTAGATATATAGAGGTTTCGGGAATGTAGAATTGTCAACATATTGGGTTGTAGGTATTAGTATCAGGTAAAAATAGAGTACTTCCTTTAATCTAAAGTTTATGAATCAATATTAACAACAATTATATAGATATTAATAACATAACATACGACAGCCGTTAGACTCGTCTCTAACTCCTGTGGAAAACAATAGACAAAACACAGTGCCTATAACAAGTCTGGATAAGTTCTGACAAGTGCATAAAGAGCTCCATCCAACTGGATGTATATTGTAATAAAGGAGCTCGTTTGAAATACAATATCATGTCAAAACTTGTCAAGGATTTATGTACGTAATATGGGAGAAGTATGAACCTACTTTGTAAGGATTATCGTGTTTTTGGAGTTTTCTCGCATTCTTGCTGTAAGATTACTTTGCGAATTCTTCTGCTATTGAAAGTTAAGCCAAGTTTGATTTAATTATGAAATATTTCCCCTTTTTTAACTCAATATCCAGTAAAGACTGAACACATAGCCTGTTTTCGGCAGTCCGATGACCGAGTTGATTGATGGTGGCGTTGGTGATACGATCAGAGATGTTCAAAGTCATAGATTTGGTTGGATTTGGTAACTGTTTTGCGGATTACAAGATATCTGGACAATCTTGATGCTGGATTAGATGCCATCAAATATGTGGCCAAACGTTTTATAAAATAAATTTCTTGAATATTTCTTTTGGGGGGCATCACAGGGGTGATTTTGGCATTGCTATATCATAACTTTTAATGTTCTGCCTTCTGATCACAAAGAGTTTTAACCACTCATCTTTTATAATATGATCACCAGTCCAAGTACACCTACGCAAACTCAAGGTCTCCTTTTTATCTATCTTCAGTATATTGAGATTTGTTTACGTTTCATGTGTGCTTACATAGTTTGTTTGTAATACATCGTCACTCGGGCATAAACTACCGTTTTTTGTTTGAAAGGGTCCAGGGCTTTCAAGGACGCCCACGCTTTTCCCATTTCACGCGACTATAGCGATGCGTAACGTGATTGGTTGGCGCCAGTGACATCAACAATGGTTCCGTCGTACGCTTAAGGTGTGTTTCCACCAAATTTGAAGAGAGGCATGATAATTCTTTAATAATTTGAGTGTTGCGAACTACTAGACTACAAAAAGTAAGCAAGTCTTTTTGAGGGTGTGCGATTCTACAATAAAATAGTATAATTTTTTTTGATGTAAAATGGTGTAGGCTTGTAATGTTAGTTCATATTTTAGTAACTTTCTGGTGGTTTTGAGTGTTTCCACGCCCTACTCAAGTGTCCTGCAGGCGGTAGTATCCTGTTCCTTGTTGTTGATCCTGACTATTTCGGTTAGGCTACACAATGGCTGGGGCTAGTATGCTGTCTGTATGGACGGGCCGACTCAATACATGGTCCTTTCTTCAAAAGGCCAACCCGGGCCCTATACTGCACTCACATAGTTCTCTTTAACATTGTACACGGACTTAAAAAAAAGACACCGCTGTGGTTTGTTTCGGCGTTTCTTCCCAGAGCGAGTCTTAGGAAATGCCGGCGCCTTCTAACTGTAAAATCTGACTTGTAAAAATATCTGTAAATAAATAATAATAAATAAATTTATTTATTTTCAGACATTAGTCCATAGATATGTTAGTAACAGTAATCTTACAACTATGTAAAGATTTACTTGTAGAAATAAATATCATTTCATCATCATTTCATTTCCTTAATAGAATATGTGTA